TTGTAGTTTTTTTATATTTAATTTTGTATTATATTTATAGATTGATTAATAAAAATGAGATTTTTTTATAATTTACTTACGAATATTATAGTATAAGAAATATGCATATATTCATTTGAAAAAATATGCATATATGCACCTAAAATGTTGATTTTTCTATTAAAAAAAGTAGTTTTGAAAAAAAAAATAGCACTTATTTACAAAAATCGATATTTTTTTTTTGAAAAAAATGTAAGTTTTTTTAAAAAAAATACAATTTTTTTTTAAAAATGCAGTTTTTTTTTAAAAAAGATGTAGTTTTTTAAAAAATATATATTTTTTCATTTTTTTTTGAAAAATTCATGTTTTTCGAAAAAAATTAAAAAATCGAATTTTTTTAAAAAAATTGATTTTTTTTAAATATAAATCCTAAATTTTTAGTTATTTTGCTAATTTTTAGATATTTTTATTAATATATTAAATAACACAAAATAATTAAACATTAAATGAGATTGGTAAAATAACGATCATGTCATTAACGAATTACTTTTGATCCAATGCTCCACTTTTAGTTCTCCGGTTCTCGTGAAACTTTGCGTTCTCAACCGATTTCAACATTAAATAAGATTGTTAAGATAACGATAATGTCCTTAACGAATTACTTTTGATCCAATGCTCCACTTTTAGTTCTCGGGTTCTCGGAAAACTTTGCGTTTTCAACTGATTTCAACCCTATATATATATATATATATATATATATATATATATATATATATATATATATATATATATATATATATATATATATATCCTCCCTAATAAATAAAGAATTTTTTACCACATGTCACACTTTCATTGATTTGACCACTTGTCATTTTGTGGTTATTTTCAATTATTTTTTTTCACATGACATTTTGTGTTTTTTTTTTTTCATTTTATTAATTTCCACATAATATTTAAATGTAATAGATGCAATAAATATAATAATAAATGCATATCAATTTCATTAATTGACTTTCTTTTAATTTCAAAATTTCTAAATTAAAGTTTCATTAGTTTCCTTTGGTTATTTATCTAAATTATTTGTTTAATTGAAAAGAAAACAAACAATTTAATTTTAATAATTAATATTTTTCAATTTTTTCTTATAAATTTATATTTCTCAAATGTTTAGAATTTCATATTTTTTTTCTTTAAAATGTAATAAATGCAATAAATATAATAATAAATGCACATCAATTTCATTAATTGACTTTCTTTTAATTTCAAAATTTCTAAATTAAAGTGTCATTAGTTTCCTTTGTTTATTTATCTAAATTATTTGTCTAATTGAAAAGAAAAACAAACAAGTTAATTTTATTAATTAATATTTTTCAATTTTTTTCTTATAAATTTAAATTTCTCAAATGTTTAGAATTTCATGTTTTTTTCTTTAAAATGAACACATTTAATACATTGGTCTTACACCTAGTGTGTGTGTGTGTGTATATATATATATATATATATATATATATATATATATATATATATATATATATATATATATATATTCATTGTAATAAAAGAATATGTTTAATCTCCAATTAACAAGTGTCATATAATTGGACCTCCTCATTAATGTTATATATCACCAATTATGTCATTTGTCAACCTATTAATTATCCAATTTAAATTTCGAATTTTAAATTTCCACTATAATTACACTAATTAATAACTGATTATTCATTTTAAATTTTAAATTTTAAATTTTCTACTCTAATTATATTAAATTCATAACATTAGATTGAAAAATAAAATAAAATTAATACAAATTATAAGGTAATATAAGTTCAAGTCTTTATTTAAATCAACAATTATAATTTTATATAACAAAAATAGATATCTTAGTTAATAATTTATTTAAAATAATTGATTAATAATTTTAATTTTTTAATATGAAATTTTAATTAATTTTATAACAGTGTTTTTCACGAGTTATAAACTAATATATATATATATATATATATATATATATATATATATATATATATATATATATATATATATATATATATATATATATATATATATATATATATATATATATATATATATATATAAACGCGCGCTACACGAACTTTTTCCCAAATTAATTTGGCCAACCATAAACACTTAATTGTTATTATTTCAATATATATGTTTGTTACTTAAAACTTTAATACGGTTTTGTATTTTAGAAAACACGGTAAGTAGACACTAGACATGAAAGGTGTTCGGGACATAACTTTTTATATTTTTGAAATTTTTAGATTTTAAGGAAAAAAAAATGACGATAAGGCAGAAAACTTTGTTTGAAGGTAAGAATTTTTAGCTTTTATTTATAAAAAAAATTAATTCAAAGGTATTTCAAGTAATTTTTTTAGAGTTTAGGTTTTAGGAGATTTTAGCTTTTGGTTTATTCAATTATACACTTTTAGTAAAAAAATAAATAATTAAAAGATTTCTCATTTAATAGCTAATTGCTACCGGATATAATTAGTTTTACAAACAAACCACTAAAAATAATATTTCAAAAGATGTATTCGGTAAAACTAGCTGGTAGTTGATATTATTTTTTAAACGTTAGGTCAGATAACTTTTAAATTTGAAACGTTTATTTTAAAATAAACGCTAAAACTACATATTACCAAATAATATTTTTTCTTCAAAACATAGCATTTTATAAAATACTAGGAGCTCTCAAACGGTCAATATAATCCCACTCAAAATAAAAATTGAGAGCATCGCTAAATCTAAATCGATAAAGACAAACCCATTTTTTTTTTTAAGATTACAAACGTTATCTTTTTGTCTAAATGAGTTTTTGGTCAAAATGAGGTGGCCAATATCAAGTTCTTTTATCATTTTATGTACTATGTTATTATAATACTTGATTGAGATAAAATATTACAAAAGTAATTGATCGGTCCCCTTCTAGATACTTGAGATTTAATAAATTCTATTTACTTTGGATTTACATATGATTCTCCCTTTTTTTTGTTATACTTAACATGTTTGATGGCTAGGATCTTTATATGTGCAAGAAGTTAATTGTATTCATTTCTCCATTAAAAGAAGAGAACAATTGGTGTTTTGGTATCAATGATGAGTTCTAAATCTGTGAAACGCATCTCTGAATGTTTCATCAAATCACTGCACGACCTCTCACCGGAGGCAAAGCAGCCTTTTCATTTCACACCCTTCGAGCTGCCATGCCTCAACATCAGCTACAGCCAAAAGGGTCTCCTCTTTGCAAAGCCACCACCGTCGGAAAGTCAAGATTTCTCCATTACCGCTTACCTGGATGACCTCCGGCGATCCCTCTCCGCCACCCTCGATCATTTCTACCCCGTCGCCGGCCGTTTGGTCACTAAAAAGGAAGAAAATCCAGCTTCCTATGTTGTCTACTTAGACCCTGAAAACAGCCCCGGCGTCAAGTTTATTTACGCGACGGTGGACGCCACTATACTGGATATCCTTCAGCCCGCCGACGTACCCGTGGTTGTTCGTTCATTTTTTGATCTTAATAACGCCATTAGCCACGATGGCCACACACTACCATTGTTATCCATTCAAGTTACAGAGCTTGTCGATGGAATCTTTATCGGTGGATCTATCAACCATATGGTCGCCGATGGAACCTCTTTCTGGCATTTCATGGGTGCTTGGAGTGAAATATTCAAATCCAAAGAACAATCTCGTTGCTCAATCTCTCGACCTCCGGTACTCAAACGATGGCTCCTCGATGGATCTGACCCGATCATCAATCTCCCGTATACACACCACGATCAATTCATCGATCGATTGGAAGTTCCAACCTTTACGGAGAGATTCTTCCACTTCTCATCAGCCTCCATCTCCAAACTCAAAGCAAAAGCAAACTCCGAATGCAATACTACTAAAATCTCAAGTTTACAGGCAGTGATCGCGCTTTTGTGGAGGATCGTTACCCGGATCCGGCGTCTACCAGAGGACGATGAAACCAATTGTAGATTGATGATATCTAACCGGCGGCGGCTGAACCCACCTCTGTCTGATGATTATTTTGGCAACCCAATTTCTGTAGTGAAAGGAAAAGCAACCGTCGGGGAATTGATGGCGAATGGGCTTGGGTGGGCGGCTTTCCGGTTGCACGAAGCGGTGATAAATTACACTGATACATCAGTTAAGGAAAGCGTGGAGTCATGGATTAAAAGTCCATTCATTATAAAACTAAGTGAGATTATGGATCGAAACTTCATTCACGTTGGGAGCTCACCGAGGTTTGACATGTATGGGTGCGAATTCGGGCTGGGGAAAGCGGTGGCGGCTAGAAGTGGGTGGTTGAATAAGGACGACGGGAAGATAACCATGTATCCCGGACGGGAGGGTGGCGGGAGCATGGATGTGGAGCTTTGTTTTGCTTCATCACAACATATGATGGATCTTGAATGCGATGAGGAATTCATAGATGCTCTAAGCAAGAATGTCAAATATTGATGAATGAAAGTTCCCTGTTTGATGTGTGTCCTTTCAAGCTGTCTCTCGTTTTCCGATCAACGGCTGACAATTTATCACTTCTGGTGTTTTCAATTTGGTATTTTCAAACCTGAATTGAGTTTTACATATATTTTGATTTAAATAAAGAGAAATTGAATATTATCAATTTGACGTTTGTTGGCTTGCTGCGATTGTGAGGAGGATATCATATCACTGAACATGCGCATCGGTGCATGTGATGATTTTAGTTGAAGATGTTTGATTACTTTTTTATGATTTAATCTTATTTTAAAAAAAAAAAAGAAAAAAAGAATCTGTATAACTTTTGTACGTCCACCAATTGGCAGAACTCTTTCCGCAGTGTGGTGTATTGCGCCATTTAGAATGGCCCCACTTTTATATAAAACTTTTTTTTTTAGTAATTGTAAAATCGAGAGCATTACATAATTAGGAATTTTAAATACATATTTATGAATCTTGGAATAAAAAAGTTTTTGCATTTGAATATGAATATGTAAACAAAGAGCGTTTGCAAATCCATAATAATGAAGTTTTTGCATTAGAATGTGCAACAAAAATAATGATGTTTTTGCATTAGAATGTGCAACAATCTAGTGTATGCAAATTCATAATAATGATAATGTTTTTGTTAGTGTATTTTATTTTAACTTATCACCTATGTAGTACATAGCTTTTAACCTAGTTTAGTTTGTAAAACGCGGGCAGCTATATTTCTTCCATGCTCACAGCTAGTTTATTTTATTTTAATTTATTTTTTTATTTTGGTTTTGGTTTTTGAAATATTTTGAAAAGATCATAAAAAGACTGATTTTTTTTTTCAATATCACCGTTCACCAATGTACCTTAACCTTATAAAATATTTTATAATAAAAGCAAACCTAAAGATCTTCAAAACTTGTTAAAATAATTACAAAATCTAGTAAAATGTACGTTTGTCAGGAAAAAAACTTTGGAGAAAGAAAAGATTAATTTTTTTTTCGTTTTTTTCCCTTCCGTCACGTGGATAATGAAGGATTTGCGCATATGAGCACAAAGATCAACAATAAGAGCTCGCTCATAGGCTGTGTACATGGTGAGGAAACTATCTGCAAACACCCAAATACCCAATAGCTTCAATGGCTTCCGCCACTGTACGGCGGATTTCTGAATGTTTCGTTAAACCAGATCTCCCCCCAGATGCAAAGCAACCAATCTACTTCACACCCTTTGAGCTCATCTACCTCAACGCCAACTACAGCCAAAAAGGTCTTCTTTTTGCGAAACCATCCCCACCGGAAAGTCATCATTTCTCCATAACCACTTTCTTGGAAGACCTCCGGCGTTCTCTCTCCGCCACCCTTACCCACTTTTACCCCCTCGCCGCCCGTCTAGCCACTCGGAAAGAAGAAAACCCACCCTCCTATGTTATCTACATAGACCCCGAAAACAGCCCCGGTGTGAAATTTGCTCACGCGACGGTGGACATAACTGTCTCCGACATCCTTACCTCTACCGACGTACCCTTAGTTGTTCATTCATTCTTTGACCTTAACAATTCTATCAACCATGATGGTCATACACTACCATTGTTATCCATTCAGGTGACTGAGCTTCTCGACGGCATCTTCATCGGTGGCTCCGTCAACCACCTTATCGCCGACGGGACTTCTTTCTGGCATTTCATGGCTGCTTGGAGTGAGATATTTAGATCTAAACAACAAGATGAGTATTCCATCTCCCGTCCTCCGATATTCAAAAAGTGGGTCCTTGAAGGGTCAGATCCTGTTATCAATCTTCCATTTACACACCACAACCAATTCATTGATCGACCAGATCAACAAGCTATGTTTCAAGAAAGATTCTTCCATTTCTCCTCAGCTATAGTCTCGAGACTCAAAGCAAAAGCAAACGCTGAATCCAACACTCATAAAATCTCAAGTTTACAGGCAGTGTCAGCACTTTTATGGAGATGCATAACGCGAGTTCGAGGCCTAACACGTGAGAGTGAAACAGTCTGTAAACTTGTTATTAGTAACCGGTGTAGACTGAACCCACCTTTATCCGATGATTATTTTGGTAACCCGATTCAGTCAGTGAGTGGAACAGCAACTGTTGAGGATCTAATGACTCGAGGGCTCGGGTGGGCTGCTTTGCAGTTACATGAAGCTGTGGCAAACCACGATGATACAGCGGTGAAGAAATGGGTTGAGTCTTGGTTTAGAAGCCCAGTAGTATATAAACGGAGTCAACTGTTCCATCCGAATGTTGTGCACTTTGGGAGCTCTCCGAGGTTTGACATGTATGGGTGTGAATTTGGGTTAGGGAAAGCGGTTGCGGCGAGAAGTGGGTACATGAACAAAGCCGACGGGAAGATGACAATGTATCCAGGTCAGGAAGGAGGCGGAAGCATGGATGTAGAAGTTTGTCTTTTGCCGGAATATATGATGGATCTTGAATGTGATGAGGAGTTCATAATTGCTTTAAAGAGTAACTAACACGTCTTAAAGTAGTATAGTTAAAGTTTAAACAACCTCCTTAGTTTGTATCCTATGTTTATCTTTTGATTTATGTTGAACTATGATTTTATTCGGCAAATATTATGTGTGCCAAGTTAAAGTAACACCATATGAATCAATAAACCAAACTTATTATGGAATCTTTAAAAGATTAATGACAAAATTGCAACAAATGGTCTTATAGTTTTAAATTTGTCTTCAATATAGTCTTTTATAAAACGTTTTTTTTTTGCATGAATAATGAATAGTCTCTTTTGACAAAATTTTGCACACCTATAGTTATTATAACTAACTTTTATTAATAGATTATGTTAAATGTTTGTTAAATGACAAAATACCTTTGTTTATATTTTTATATTTATTTTAATATCTTTTTAATTTAAAATTAAAAAAAATAGGTCCATCTAACCCATCCCCACCCCTCCTCGTTTTCGGAATTAACTAAGTTTTATTGATCATAATCGGAATAAAATTTGGATATTTGTTGTTATTTTATTGACCAAAAACCATCACTTGGAGGTGGCTATTGGTGATTTATGTCATTCACACAAAGCCTGCATCAAGGCTGCTGAGGAACGTTGACCCCAGATGTTGCGTGTAACGCCTGTAGATCCGGTCTAGTCAATTTAGAGATAATAGGGGTTGAAAACGACTTTTTGATAAAAGATTATTTATAATAAATAATCTTAACCAAGTTGTAGAATATTTCTCAAGGGTTCCGTACATATAAAAAATGCTGAAATCCGAGTTATAACGACGAAGTTATGACCCGTCGAAGTTTTTCGGCAAAACCGATCCGACACTGGGAGACGTAAATAGTAAATTTAAGATAGATGACTTTTTAGCCTTAGGGATCTAAATGAAAGTTGTAGAATACATATCCACCTACGTGTGGATATAAAGAACGTCAAAAACGGAGTTCGTATGCAAAATTTATGGCATTTCGAAGATTTAGCTTTTAAAAATCCTAAACTAGCTAATTCACGACATGAGAATTATGACACTTACGAAAGTCTGTCATAATCCGGTATCTAGAAGTTGTGAGAGGATAAGATCTAATTCACGACATGAGAGTTATGACGCTCACTACATTCTGTCATAATTCGGAATCTAGAAGCCGCGAGAGGATAAGATCCAATTCACGACGTGATCTTTATGACACTAATGACGTGAGGTGTCATGGCCACCATCCGAAGCTAGGGACGCAAATGGCAAGTCTACGAAGTGAATCATGAGATTCACGACGTGAGTGTCATAAAAACTTACTATAAATAGCTTGCGAGCCATTCCGAAAATCTCACACCTTTCTTCATTTCTTATCTCTAAACTTTCTCTCTCTAAGGGTTTTAACCCTCCCCTAAGCCTAGGTGATCCCCTAGAACCCTAAGGAAGCCCGAGGCTCCCAGAGTCCCGAGAAAAAGAGTCTTTCGGTTTCGAAACGCTGCTCCAAATAAAGCCCGGTTTTCTTTAAAATCCGCTGTAAGTGAGCTACGCTTACGCAATTTTTAATATAGCTTTCAAATAATCATAGTAATGTTATTAGGTCCTTAAAATAATTATTTGGACAATTATTATGAGTTATATTGAGTGTTATTTAACGCTTATATTATTATAATAATAATAATAGCTAGACTATTAATTAGTCACGGTTGATGTTAGACTAAACCCTAGTGGAATTGATACTAGGTTTTATCGAAGGAAAATTGTTTTCAGAGTATCAAAGCGTTGTCCGAGTGCTGAGTCACCACCTACTAAGGTGAGTGTATAATCACTTTCACCTTACACACACACACACACACACACACACACACATATATATATATATATATATATGAAGTATTTTCTTTTAAATACGTGCTATTTGTAATTATATTAATTGTTTAATTAAGTTGACTGTTGAATAGATGTTTTATACAAGTTTTAAACTGTATATGTATTTTTATCTACAAATATTTTGGGTAAAATATGGGTAGATGAATTAGATGATGTGTGATGAAATAAAATGTGATGAGAGGTATCGATGTTTAAGATGATCTAGTCATCTAGTAGAGTATAGACAACAACCAAAGACTATTTTAGATAGTCCAGTGGAACGTTAGCAGACTTGTAATCGGTAGGCATGTTTGAACTATATGTTCATAAGGTGTTCTTTAACTATATGTTCATTAGGTGTTTTTGAACTATGTGTTCATCCGTTAGTTCTTCTTTTTGACACTATTACGTGTCGGGGTACGGGAGCGTACGGGAGTACTTTATTAGTATTTTCCCTATACCTTTATTTTGAAGAGATTTGGAGTCTTTGTTTCTTTTATGAAGTGATAGGACGAGCTTCATGAGTCAGTTTTCCATTCTCGATGCCGGATAGGAGTGAGTCTATGGGTTATATTTTTTTTGAACCGGCAAATCTAATCTACTCCTAAGCTAACAACACCTATTCCACCTATGTCCACGACGGGACTTGAACCTTCGACCTCAAAGAGGGAGGGCACCACCTGATACCGCTAGGCTACAAGCCCTTTGGTGTCTGTGGGTTATATACCTCATGATATTCAGACCACATCCTAGGCATTAATCAGTGTTTCCATTCTCGATGCCGGATAGGAGTGAATCTGGGGGTTATATACCTCACGATATTCAGACCACAGCCTAGGCATTAGTCAGTGTTTCCATTGCTGGATAGGGTGCGTTTGGGGGTTATATACCTCATGATATTCAGACCACAACCTAGGCATTAATAATTACCCCTGACTTAATTGTTTGGTGGTTCTTTCTTTTACAAACAAAGGTTCGTAGTTAAGCTTATTCCATTTATTTGATGTCGTCTTCGATCCTCGTTTGCTGCTAGGGAATTTTCGAAGCAGTTTCGTTAGTTGGTTGTTCATATCGATACTTTAGGCTAGATCTAGTAAGATCACTGTATAGGATCAGTATGTGGGGATCGACGTTGTTAGTGCTTGTAATATAAACCTTGGGCAGCGATGGACTTCATGCCTATTCCGTAGGATGAATCCTTAGTAATGAGTGATAGTTGATTATTAGGGTAAATCCTTAAGAAATGAATAAGATAATGGGGATTGGGTAATTGGGTTGATTGTTTGATGTTTAAGCATAATAAATTTATTTATTGTGGGGTAAAAACCCTATATGCTCACCAGGCTCCCAAGCCTGACCCACTCAGTTTAATTGTATCACAGGTATCAATACGAAGTTGCTTTACACTGAGAGATTAAGGAGATATAGATCACTAGTGAAATGAATGTAAGTTCTGTTTATGCTTATGTTTCTGTATTGACGATGACATCATAAATGTTTTAAAATGAATAAAAATACGTTTCTTCGGAAATGCTTTGATAACGTATTTATCGTGTTTTTCTGGGAATAAAATTCCACAACATTTTTTTTATTAAAAGAGGTACTCTGATTTTCATAAATCATAAACAAAGTTGGTCTTTTCTGGCCGTGAAATTGGGGATGTCACATCGCGACCCGCTAAGTCCTCGGAGATAAAGTCGGTAGTTCTACACCAACTCGAATATTAAAATTTGAAATTTTACGATGACTAAATGAAAAAACAAGGATATTTTGATTTTTGAACTTACCAGAAGATGTTTGGCAATGTTTTTTGTTGTTAGACTTGGAAAGTTCATTAGCTCCAGCATTTTCTTCGTGACAACTTTTGAATCGTTATAGGATTTAATAAGTGTCTTAGAAAAAATGAAATCATAGAGATTGAATCAAGAAACTGGGTGAAAAAAATGATCTTACTATCAACTCCAAGCTAAGTAACGATGACAACGAACTGTTGATGAAGCTCGACAGACCAAACTATGTAAGGTTTTTTCAAAGAAAAAGACCAGTCTTGTCCTTCAGCTTCAGCTTCATCTTCATCGTCTTTCTTCCTCTTTGAACATCGACCCCAACGACCCTAAATCTAATTGGATTTGTTCTTTGAAGAAAGAAATTAAAAAGGGTAAAACACTCTATGTACCTTAATAGTTGCAGTTTTTTTAGCCTATTTTCTAAAATATTGAGACAAGTTGAGTCGTCATTAACAACAAGCACCCGAAGTCCAACTGGAAATTGGTTTAGTCCTGTTCTGACGCCAGGGTCGATGGGTTTCCAAGAAGCACACCTTGATCCAGTGGTATTGTCTAGATTTGTCAAGATCGAGTTCATCAAGTTACATGTGTTGGGTTTGGTTTATCTGCTCGATTTTTTTGGTTCATCTATTGGATATAGAGACATCGATGAGTGTGTCTGTGTGTGTGTATTTAATCAAAAGTTACTTCATATTTGGATAAAAATGCATTGAATTTCATGAGTGAGTGTGTATGTGTGTGTATTTTAATAGGAAGAAGCTTCTGATTTGATCCAGCTACAATTTCATTCATGAGTTCCTCTTAGAGTAAAAATGCTTCAGATTGGGCATTCATTGTATGCTTCTGATTTGGTAGTAAGCTCATATGGTATACCAAGGACAAGGCCCTTCATGGTCTATGTGGCCACTAACCACTATAGTGCACACCATCTCAATACTTAATGATAGCTAATGGTAGTGGTGGATTGTGGTGCACACAATGGAAGCGAATGTCGAATACATTGCTTTCTCTCTCTCTATCTCTTTCTAACTTTCTCTATCTCTCTCTACAATAAAATATACTTTTTATTTAAAAATAAAAAAAATAAGAGGGTTATAGTGGTGGGTATACCAACATTTTAGAGGTTATATGTGGTGATGATGTGGCACCCACCACTAAAGTGGTTGGTGGTGGGTATAACGGATGGTCTAAATCGACGAATTTGATGATGGCTTGTCGTGGATGCCATGTTTTTGCTTGTTTTCTCCATTAAGAGGTATAGGGAGGGTACCAATAAGGGTGGGGTTGATGAGTCCAATTTTTTGTTTTTATTTTTAAATTAAAAATGTATTAAAGTAAATATAAAAAAATGGTATTTTCATCATTTGACAAATATCTAATAAAATATGTTAATGAAGTTAGTCATAAGGACCATTGGGGTAGAATGTTTTGTTGAAACAGACCATTCATTCAAAACAAATGTTTCATAAAAACTATATACGGGATAAATTTATAACCATAAGGACCATTTGTGAAATTTGGTCAAAATTA